GAGGCAAGCCCAAACAAGTCCATGTTAAGGTCTTAAATTCTTAATTTTTTGTGTGAAAATTAAGAATTTAATACCTTAACATGGACTTGTTTGGGCTTTCCTTGAAGGGCGTTGTCAAGGGCTGCTAGGTTCAAAAAAAGCAAAAAAAAAAAAGTAAAATTTTCAAAAGGCGCATGCCTGGGCTAAGGCGCAAGGTGCACGCCTAGGCACACCAGGTGTGCGCCTTTTGAAAGTGTTGTGCCTAGGACCGGGCTCGGATCTGCTACCCACTCGTTGTTCCTACATCTCTACCCACGTTATATAACAGCCATGCATTGGGAATATCTTCCTTCTCATTCATAGGGAGATGTTTCCAAAACATGGCGGCAGTATTCCGTGAGTATAGATGTGGGAATAAATAGTGGGTAGCAGATCCGGAGTGCCTAGGACCTGGGCGAGGCACTTACCCTAAAATGCGCCTCGCCTATGCGCCTAGGCATGCCTTTTAAATCACTGTACTAACTTAACCTGATGGTCCTTTTCTTCCTCGGGTTGACGGGTTTCCATAAAAAACCCATTGTCAACTTTTCAATACTTCCACTAACTCCCTCATTCTAGGATCTTAAAGATTGACAGATAGTAGACAAGGAGGTTATCTAAGGTCCTGAATCCTGATTAGGGTTATCCTTCCTCCAAGAGATAAATAACTCTTTTTCCAACATGCTAGCCTTTTTGAAAATCTTTCTACAACTTGGTTCCAAGAACTTGCCTCTTTTGGATTGGCTCCAAGAGGTAAACCTAGGTACTTTAGGGGCCACTGAGACAAATTGCAACTTAGAATTTTTGCACATTCTAACATCTCTCCATCTTCCATATTAATCCCTACTATACAATCCTTGTCAAAATTTACCTTTAGGTTTGTCATTCGTTCAAAGAGTTGTACCATTGTCTTCAAATTTTGAACCTCCTCTCAATCTTCATCTCCACTAAACAATATAGTATCATTTGCAAATTGCAGGTGAGTAATCGGTACTCTCTCTCTCTCTCCACTCTTTACCCTTTTACTAAATGTCTCACATCTGCCCTAATCATCAATCTACTAAGAATCTCTGCAATGAGCGTAAAAAGGAAGGGGGAAAGGGGGTCTCTCTGTCAAATCCCTTGACTAGCCTGAAAGAAGTCCACCACTATTCCATTTACTATAATAGAATAGTGAGATGTCTGGGTACAACTCCACACCCACTTGCACCATCTCTCCCCAAAGCCACATTGCTCCATTACCTCCACTAATGCTGACCAGTCCACCAAGTCATAAGCTTTCTCTAGATCAAGTTTACAAATTAATCCTTTCCTCCTAGATCTCTTTAACTCCTCCACATTGATTGGCAATCAAGATCAGATTTGTAATATGCCTGCTTTTCATGAAAGCCCCTTGATTAGGAGAAATGATTGATGGGAGGACTTCCCTAATCCTCAAGGACAAGACCTTTATTATTATTTTGTATAAGCTACTAACCAAACTAATAGGTTTAAAATCCTTTGGATTGATCTCACCTGGTCACCCCTCTCAAAGAATTCCTTGAAGACCTCCAATAAATCACACTTTAAAATTTTCCAACAGTCTTGGTAGAATGCCGTTGTGAATGTAATATGTTATCATTACATGCTTGATCCACATTTACATATCATGTCTTCAATTGTTTCCTTCTATATTTAGGGGGCAATAAAAAGAGGATGGTGGCTTCTTCCCCTTCTTTCTTGCCTAAACAGGGGCTCTACTTCTTTCCTCCTATGTGATTTGCTTACTCTATGGTTATTATGAATATTTTTTTTGACTTTCTTAAAGCCTTAATAGACTTGTATGTCTTCTATGTATTTGGATTATGACATTTTATAGATGTTCAATTATCAATGGAATTTATAGAATATGATTATGGGTTATCACATTATGCAATTAAGGAGGTTTATGTGCTTTTTATTTGATATATAATCCAAAATTTCATATTCTTATTTGTCTTTTTTTTTTTGTTTTCCTTGAAAAGTTGTTCCTTGCCTTGGGCATCGGGCATTTGGAAATCATTGTGGTTTTATTGCACCTCTCTCTTTTAAAATATTGGTGCATCTTTGGTTGTTAGTGTTGCATGGTCATGGGTATGGCAATTTGAATCCAAGGTATGTCTAGGAGTCCAACTTGGTAAGATGAAAAAATATTCACATAGGGACAAATCTGGAAAATGGTATTAATGTTAAAAGCAAGGATCAAAGTATTGATATTGGGTATTGTATTGGACAACTTGGATATGAATACAGATATGCTTGGGAAACACATGGATATGGACGAAAAATATTGAAACACTTGGGAAATGCATAGAAATTCCATAAATATATTAATAATATTAAGTTTAATGTCAAAATAATTATAAATAATATATAAATACATAGGAGTTTTATATTTTAATGGTATATATGAAGAAATATATTACAAGTAATACAGCGAGATGCATAGATATTATGCAATTTTATTGATAATGCATCAATCAAGAATCCAAGGCACATATTATATAGATTCTTAGAAATTAATACATGCACAAAGCCATTATTATTTTATTTTCTATTAAAGTCCAAGGCACAAAACATATGCAACTATTCTATTTGAATTACTATATCAATATTTCTATTTTACTATTTTTTATTTTTAACTTTAACAAAAAAGATCAATTCTCAAATGCTTAGTAAACAATATTTTCATTTTTTAAAAATAAATATATTATTATAAAATGTAAAGTAAAGTATTAATTAATAATTTATAAAAAATAAATAATATTAACTTAGAATTATCAAATGTATTAAAATTTTGAAGATATATCTTATGAATATTCATAAATTCTAATTACTAAAATCATTATTCAGTTATTAATATTTTATTTTATAATATTTCTAAAAACAAAATTATTTTATTTCTATATAAATGTAGATTAGTGTAATTGACCAATTCAATTTATGTTATATTCTCAAATATTTTTTTAAATAATATTTTTATCTTTGTAAATAGTAAATACATTGTTATTTAATGCAAATTAGAATATTAATTAATAATTTATAAAAAATTGAATATACATATTATGTGCAAAATTATAAATTTTAAGTATTAAAATAATTATTCTATTATTAATATTTTTATTTTTATAAATTTCTTGAAATTAAAAATCATTTTTTGGTATATATGTAGATATGATAATGTATTTATTCTATTGGTTCATAAAATACTAATTTTGAAAATTATTCTTTTTAATTTCTTTTTTGAAAATGCTAATTTATCTTTTTAATTTATACTTGGAGTTGTTGAATATTAGTATATATTGTTTATTTCGATTGCATGTAGACTTTCCTGTTGATAAAGGTTAATGTATTTCATTTATTATCAAGAAGTAGAAAGTGGCTTGGTGGTTGAAGAGACATGTACTCTTGGTCGTTGGGCAGCTTTGGTTCTTTGGTTCGAATCACGCTAGACTCATTTTTTTTTTTAAGTGAGACGCAGGTTCATTGTTGTCAAACGAAGGTGCGGTACGCTGTCGTTTCAGTGCGTATCGGACCATATCGCCCGATACTATACGATATGCGTCGATATGGTAGCGTATCACACCGGTACTCATGACTAGTAGGATATGCATCTAGGTGTGGCATATCCTATATCGGTGAGGTTTGATACCAATATGATATGCCCTGTCATGTCAATATTTTAATCCTTGGTTAAAAGTTGAAACATCCATATCTTGTGTATTCTAACATCACATAACTCTAGAAATGTTTTTTTTTTTTCTAAAAGTTAGCTGAGCAATTTATTCGAAATTAAGTGGCTTGGCGATCTCCTTTCCTTGCTCAAGTGCTAACAGTCCCTCCTTGTTGAGTTCCCATATCCAATTGGTCCTAAGTACACTATGACTCCTAAGGACTTCACCTACTCCATAAGGTCTTGAATTGCCACTTTAACTTCCATCAAAGATTAACTTTGTCTATCCAATATTTGGGGGGAGGGTCCATTGGATGTGCATGATGTTCCTAGCAGTAGATGATTTAGCCACCATTTTCCATCCCACTATGATGTCATCCAAAGTGAAAGGGCTGGATACTTTCATAGTCTTGACCCATTGTGCCACTCTTACTGTAGTATTTTCTATTAATGCCTCCTTTGTTTTTTGTTGCCTTGTGATGATTCTTGAGTTCATTTTTGCCCAAATAGCCCAAATGACAGCTGCACTCGTATGCCTCCATATGATTCTCCTCTTTAAATGAGTATGTCTAAACCATGTATGCAAATGCAATCCTGAACTTGTTGTATAGGTTCTCAAATAACTAATCTAATGGCACCAAGGTCAGGCCTGTTCCAACTTTAATAAAGTAAGGAAAATGTGAAGAAAAGGATAGAAGAAAGAAAGAGAAGAAGATAGGAAGAAAAAGGGAAGAAGATAGGAAGAAAAAGGGAAGGGAAAAAGAAGAATAGGAGAAGAAAAGAGGGAAGACAAGAAAGGAGAAATCTGTTCTCTTCTCCTTACTGTCGACCCAGGTTGTATTAACATTCTACTAAGGCTGAAATGACTACAATACCCTTAGGAAAATTACAGCAGATATAAGAGAGAAAGAATAACATGAAAATGACAATACTGCCCCTGTTAACTACTTCTAACAATTATGACAAGGCCAAACAGACAAGTGTGTCAGTCAATTTATGCTATAAGTTGAGTCACAAGTCTTTGGCTGTAGGTTTTGAGTTTTACCTTCTCTTTTTCCCACATCATCTTCTTCTCAATTGATATAGGTAGAAATTATGAACTTAATATCCTTGTTTATGAATCAGAATACTTAATATCTTTGGGTGATTGACTTTTCTTTTCTACATTATTTCCCTTCTGTATTATCACTTTTGTATAATTCTTGTGGATGCTGTTATCAGATTATTTTAATCTTGACCAAATTATTTCTAATATGGGGGTTCAGCAAAGAGTCTGTTTAATGTTTTACAGGTCCAACGAACTGCAAAGCCACCTGTTTGTAAACTCATGGACTTCCATTTAGAGAAGTACAAACGAAAATTAAAGGAGAAGGAGCGCACAAAAAGTAAAGTAAGATACCTTTTATTATTCATTCTTGTGGATTTCATGAATACAACTTATTGGTGGATCAAACCTCTTCCATTTTCATTTGTTAGATGTTGAAGGATCTATGCTCTGCCATAGTAGATTCCTATTCAGTGACTAATCTCTTGTGAATAATTACTTTTTTGTCAGTAGAAAGAAAATTTTACTAAAAAGCAAAAAAGATGCATAAAAAGGAAAGGGTGATGCTATCTCTACAAGGACTGAAATTGGGGAGCTTGCTCCACTGTAGCATTACTTTGGTAGAAAGTCTCCAAGTTTTTTTTTCATAGTAAAATAAAATGAAAGATTTTGTTAAGAGAAGAAATACAAAATCTGGGTAGTGTGGTTAGCATCATGAGATGGAACCCCAATGCAAAGAGTCCTTAGAGGAAAACATTTCAGACACAGTAGAATCAAAACTTCCCTCTGAACATCTTTAAAGTTTAAATTCTGTATGCAAAAGATTCCTATCCAAAATCAGATTTCCCACTGATGCACACAATCTTTCATGACTCGTCTGAACACCTTCAAAAAAAAATTCTTCTATTTCTCTCCTTCGAGATGCACCAAATTACAGAAAACAGAATGCAACTCCAAAATATTTTAGCAACCAACTGGGAGAGATTAGTTATCACTTTCCCATTGAACCTATTTTTCTATTCTTTCTCCTCTTTTCCTCTTGTTCTTTTCTACTTTTACAGCATATCTATTACCAGTACATGATTGATTTAAATAGTAATTATGTTTTATTTGGCAATGATAAAAGAACAAGTTTCAACTGAAAAAGTGTGTTTATTTCTAAATATAAAAAGTAAGTTTATTTCTTGAAATTCTCAAACATGCTGCATATAAGGTCTTCAGGTATATACATCTTTCTTAATTAATTTGTTCCTATACATGCTTATATAAAACAATATATCTGGATTTTCTAAAATTTAAATGATTGGATTTTCTTTTGCAGTCTGAGGTTACTCTACGCACTGGAGATTGCAAAGAAATCAAGTTTTCAGCAAAAACTGTATGTTTATTTTGTTACTGTTATTTGTTTCTTATCAAACAACTGGTGTTTCCTGAAGGTTCTCATTTTTCTTGGAAAAATAATGGAATAAACACTTGTTCTATTTATGTTCACTTTGGGAGCCTGGTTAGACCGGTACAAATCAGGTGTCCAGGAAATGGAGTAGCTGAAAGAAAACATTTCATCATAAATATCTTTTTAGGGGTTTTTTGGTTGATGCAAATCATGAGGCACAGTTTTATTGTGCTGTCTCCTAAAAGTGAACATAAAATCAGGAGATGAGGAAATGAAATATCTGAAAGAAAAGCCTTTTGTCACTGACCTTTTTAGGGGATTTATGGTTGGCAGAAATTATGAGGCAGACAGTTCTGTTCTGCTGAGAAACTTGAAATGACATTCCCTCACTTTGAGCATAGGAGAATTACTATTTCTGGATCCATGTGAATGCTGCTAAGTATAATTTTTTTCATGATTTCATGTATTGGATATTCCATATGCTACTTTGTTTTTTCTTGGGTCAAAAAGTTCCATGGGAAAACTTAGCATAACAAATTTGGTACTTAATAAATGATTATTAATTTTTCTCTTTAACTCTGTTTTTGGAGCCTTAGCAAGGAAGAATCTTTTTATTATTGGATCAGTTACTTTAGTTGTTAAAGTATAACTTGCATTTACCCCTTTATCTGGACAATATGTCTACAAAAACTATGGTTCCTTTTGAAAGAAAAAATGGCTTATATGTATTTATAACGTGAGGGTGGGGCTTGGTGCAACGGTTGGGTTGCTCCATTGCAACCTGGGTGACCAGGGTTCAAAGCTTGGAAACAGCCTCTCTGTATGTGCAGGGGTTTGGGTGCTTACATCCATCCCTCCCCAGATCCCGCAATGGCGGGAGCCTCGTGCACTGGGCTGCCTTTTATGTATTTATAGTGACTAGGATGTTATGGTAGGCAATGGGAAAGGTCAACAACCTTCATAAATGTGATAAGAGTTTGATTATTAGATGATATCTGTAGAGATTTGTAGAGTACTAGAGTTGAAGAAGAGAAGATAAAAAAAAAGATACGAAGAGAGATTTTGGGGAATAGTGGGAATAGATTTGAACATGTTCCTATACCCTAATTCGATATTACTTTGAGAACAAAATGTTTACAATTTTATCCCTGTGACAGAATGCATACCTACCTACACTCCCTCTCAACTGAGTACAAAGTTATGGCCTTCAGAAGTTTTCAATGCATTTTAGTGTGTAATCTGTGACTCAGTGACTGGGCTGAACGGGCCAATGCTTCAACTGCCCGGGATTTGGGTAGATTTTTTTTTACCAAGTCAAAGGTTTTGGTCAAATTTTCGGCTTTTAGGAAAACCAGACCTGGAAATGGGACTAGGTGATGGTTCGAACATTCAAGTCAATGGTGGGTGAAAACATTGATACAATCAGAATGAAGTTTCACCATATCCTTCTTCTAATCAGGAGAAACAAGTGTTCTTACATAAATGAGTTATAAAAATAGAGGACAAAAGAGAAACAAACTAGTGATGGATAAGTGAAATATAAGCATAAGTAAAGTAGGGGATGGGATGATTAGTACAAGTACGCTGACCTTTGCAAAAATAAGGTCTAAATTTGATGGAGCAAGATCTAGGAAACAACCATCGACTCCACTGGAGTGGGTAAAGTAATTGATGGCGTGACTACGATTGACTCAACACCACATAATAACGGAGTAGAACCAAAAAAGGTAACATCTGGATAGACAAAGGACTTACTCTGGATTGTATCACTTGTACTAGTAACCAAGGAAGATACATTTAATAGCATGATGATCCAACCTATCAAGACTAGGACCTATTATTTGCAAATATTAATCACAACCAAAAACATGGGGAAGATATGAAGGTAATGAAAGGAAATAACATAGAAAAAGGAGATTTTCCATCAAGCCTAGAGGAGGGAATGCAATTTATAAGATAATATGATGCAAGAATTGCATCACTCTAGAAAGGTTTTTAAGCAAATATTTGTAATAGCAAAACATGTGTGACTTAACAAGAGATAATAATTCTTCATCTGAGTCATTCCATTTTGTTGTGGAGTGTGAGCTGGAAGCCATGCCATTCATCCTAGAATAATTATTAATGAAAGTTACAAAAAAAGAATGAAAGTTAAAACCACTAGAATAGGTGACAAGACTAGGCCCCCTTGCATTTGAATGATCAAGGTAAAAAGGTATGGGAGAGGTAGGCCAATTATGGCTAATTAAACTATTTAATAAGATAATGATTAATGAAAACAAAAAGGATGGTGGATGAGTGGAGAAAGAGAACTGTGGTTCCTATATTTAAAAAAAGGTGATATAGAAAGTTGTAATGGTTATTGTGGTATTAGACTCATAAGCCATATTATGACACTTAAGGGGAAAGTAATTGAGCATAAGTTACAGCATTTGAACAAGTATATTAGAAAATCAATTTGGTTTGATGCTAGGATGGTCAAGCATGGAAGCAATCTTTTTATTAAGATGATGAATAGAAAAGTTTAGAGAGAAGAAGAGAGATCTTTGTATGGTATTTATTGATCTGGAGAAAGCATATAATAGAGCCCTAGAGGGACAATATGGTGGATTTTGGAAAAGGAGTGCTAGATAGGTACTTGGACTTGACTAAGGACATTTATGAGAGAGCAACATCCAATGTTAAAACACTTGTGGGAGAGACATCAAAGTTTCTACTTAGAATGGGACTTCACCAAGGCTCAATACTTGGCCTTTATTTATTTGCACTAGCAATGGATGAATATAGTAAACATATTTAGGAGGAAGTACCATGGTGCATGTTGTTTGCTGATGAAATAGTATTAATTGATGAAACTAAAGAAGGATTAAATGCAAAATTAGATTATGGATAAAATCCTTAGAAATAAATAGGATTAAAATATACAATCTGAACTTACTAATAATGGTAGTGGAGGTCAAGGTACACTTGGATTGGAGATAGAGATATTTTGATGTGATGTCCTCTTTCATTACCTTGGTTTGATAATTTACAATAAACAAGAGATTGAAGAGGATGGGCAAAATGGAGAGGTGCATTTGAAGTCTCACGTGAAAGGAGAATACAACTTAGGTTAAAAAGAAAATTTTATAAAATGTTTATAGGACCAGCAATGCTGTATGGGTCTTAGGCAGTCAAGAAATAATATGTCCAGAAAAAGTGTGAAAGAAATGTGAATGTGGTGATAGATGAGTGAGAAATCTAATTGGATAGGACTAGAAATGAACTTATTTGAAGGAACCTAGGAGTAGCTCCATTAAGTGATAAAATGAAGGGAAGTAGAGATGGCTTGGGCTTGTGCAGAGAAGACCATCTATAACATCAGTAGGAAGAAGTGATCTAGTACAAGTTGAAGGGTCAAGAGAATATCCAAATTTCTCACCTTCAATATGCAGATGATACCATTTTTTTTATTGAAGCAAAAAAAGATTTTATCTTAAACTTTTTTTTAATCAATAACAGGAATCCATTGGATTAATAAAAAATGTAGTTACAACACTCTAGAGAGAGATATAAGGCTTAGCTCTCTCTAGGAGGACAACAAAGAAAAAATTACAGAACAGCCCAAAACATTTGATCCCATCCCATCCCCTGCTTTGCCAATGCATCAGCAAAAGCATTTGCTGTTCTCTTAACCCACTGAAATTGGATTTCCATCCCTCTAGTTAGCCACTTAATCTCCCTCCTCTCATTAGCAAATTTCCAAAGTCCACTCTCTTTCTGTAGCCAGCTTAACACCAGCTTTGAGTCCCCTTCAACGACTAACTTTTGTATATTCAGTTCCTTAGTTTTTCTTATCCCCTCCAGTACAACATAGATCTCAGCTTTAAGAGAGTCCCCACCCCAATGGGACCTGAATACATTGCAAGCACCCTCCTATCCTCATCTCTAAAGACCCCTCCTACTCTTGACAGACCTGGATTTCCTTCACTACTACCATCAAAATTTAGCTTTGTATAGCCACAGGCTGGTGGTGACCACACAGGACAAATAGAAGAGTGAGTAGGAGCAGAATTTGCCACCTCCATCCAGCTATTAAGCAACATGTCTGTAGAAACATCAACAAACAGGTCCAAGGATTTAAGCTAGTGCACCACCCTTACTATTATTGCTTCTACAAGACTTTCTTTACTTCTTTCATTTTCAGAAAAAGTTTTGGCATTCCTTTCCTCCCATAGGGTCTAGCAAATAGCAGCCCTCACAGACCTCCACATAATCCTTCCTTATTTGGCGGTGGGCTCCACCTGCAACCAAAAAAGGAAAGAAACCAGTCCCAAAGATCAGCAACAAAGGGGCAAGAAATTAATAAGTGGTAGGAGCTTTCACCATTAGCCTTGCAAAGAATGCACCGATTAGGAGACAAGCACCAAAAAAGGGCTTTTTCTTTGGAGTAAGTCACAAGTATTACACCTTTCTAGGAAGGCTTCCCAACAAAAGGCTCCAACCCTTGGAGGAATTGGCTCACCTTAGACATCCTTAATTGGAAAATTTTGTGCAAAATTATTGGTCGAAGGCAAGAGGCACTTAAAGAAGGAAGCACAAGACAAGGTTCCAGAGGGAGCTAGGGTCCATAGTCTCTTATCCCTCTCAGAGGGGTCCAACACCACCCCGTTCAAGATCTAAACCACATTCAAGACATTTTCAACCTCTACATCCCTTAGGCCTCTTCTAAAGTCCAAATCCCAATCAAACCCAAAGTTAGACAAAGAAGGAACTAGAAAACTGGACACAACCTTGCCTTTATACCTGGGGAGAAAAAACAAGGAGGGAATTGGTCTTTCAAAGGTACCTCACCCGCCCAAATGTTCTCCCAAAATCTTACTTGATTTCTAGAGCAGAGGTCATACCTGATGAGCTGCAAAAAAGAAGAATGGCATGTATAGATTTCCAAGGAGAGGCACCAATAGACCTTGCCAAAGTTGTAGTGTCCTAGTTGTCATCTACCT